CCCCAGTCTCTTTCAGCATCATGGCCAGAGAGCTCTCTGGGATGTGATTTGGAGAGGAGGATCTTGCAAACATAGTGAAATTTATATTCTCCTTCTTTTGCTCTTTGCGTTGGGAAGACAAAACTGAGTCTCCCTTCACTTTGAGGTTTGCACAGTTCTGTTGCACTGGAGGTTTATTCCTTCCTTTCCATCACACCCTGCATTTAGGAGCAGCACTGGAGCAGGGAAATGGGGGCATTCAGAGCAAAGTGGTCGTTACTGTGGGTCAGTGACAGGACAAGGGGAATCCTGGCACTGCCCAACCTCTGGCAGGCATCAGCCACTGCTGTCAGTAGAAGTACGCTCTGCTGCCTTTTAACAGTGCTTACACATCATTCTAGAAGGATGTTTCTGCTCACAGTCTCGGTGGACAAGAAATTCTGCATCAGATTTGAAGGTTATTCTGAAATAAGGTTATTTTATTTAGCTATCAAAGCATGGAGAGCTTCTCTAGACCTTTTGTGTGTTCCCCCCAATGTGAAGCTGACTGCAGGGAGCAGCTCAGGTGTTGTCAGATCTGTTTGCAGGCAGGGAGGGATGCGTGGGATGCTGTGGAGTGGGAAATGCTCGCCTGCACAAGGCTGTGTGGGTGGGGAGTTGCTCAGTGCAGCTAGATCTGAAAGAGAAGCTTCCTAGCGTGAGCTGCACCCACCAGGCCTTGAAAGAAATATACCCCACTCCTGGGTCTCCTCCAATATTTCCTTAGATTTTACTGAGTGGTGCAGCATCCCAAAGGGTGTGCCTGAAACAGTCGCTTTGTTTAGCTCCATGATGAAGTGACAGCGTGGACCCAGCAAATTCATGTCAGCCCACCTGAAATGCTAGCCATGCTTCCCTGGCAAGCAGGTTGCTTTGTTGTGCTGCACAAGAGATGTGCTTGGAGATGCAGAGGGAACTGGGTGCCACAAATAGAGAAAAATATCAGAGCAATAAAAGCTAGAATGAACCTAGCTAGGGTATTAATTCCTCATCCCTGTTATTTCAGATTTCTCCAAGGTCTCTCTTCAGTAGAGGAAAATGAAAGAACCAGTTTCTTGGTCTCCACCTCCTCTGTTTGGAGATTTCTTGTTGCTATTGAATGCAAAGAAAAAGAAAAGAAAAATCACCAAAAAAAAACCCACATGCCTTCAGAAAACTGAATTTGCAAAATAATAACAATAATTATAATAATGAATCTTTAAATCTTTAACTTTATCCTAATTTAGGAAGACTTTTATCTTCAGCTTGTGGCTTTGCTTTTCTCTTCAGCATCTGTCAGAAACCTGAGCTCTAAATAAAACAGAGGAAGAATCTCACAGATGAATACAGGCACCAATACAGGTGTCAGTTTCCAAATTACACCACACAAGGATCTTCTGGCAGTGCACAACTGTGTTTATCTGGTGCACAGGGTAACCTGAAAATGCAAAATGTGAATTTCAAGTGGTGTCGTGCAGACCTGTGAGTTTAAGCTGCTAGACTGAAACTGGGCAGCCCTAACTTGTGTTAGCTCTGGTTATGTGTTCCACAGGGTGGAACTTAATTTTGATTAGAGCTCCTGGGGTCAAGTCCGACTGGAAATTCTGGCTGATTCCCCATGTATGCACAGAGGTGGGAGAGGAGGCACAAGGAAGAGCTAACTGGGGCCAACTGTGTGGCAGCGTCTGCTGATGGGGGTGCACAAGAGCCAGCAGGTCATGCTGGAAGGCTGACCAGATCCAAGCTCCCACAGGCAGCAGTGCTGATGCTGCAGGGTGTTCCTTGGCTTTAGATAAACGCATGAGTGTTCCAATGTATTTCAGTGTTTGCTCTACCGATAGATTACTATATGATTTTATAACTGAAGTTTGGTGTAAGATTGCATTCACGTCAAAATGTGTGTGTGCTACTCCACATGTGATCCAAATGGCACAGCCCAACTCTGAGAGTGAGACCTCTTTTTTCTCTAGTTCCTTCTGTTGAAAAATCCTAAAAAGCCCATGCTGTTACAGAGAAGTTAACAACCTCCATGTGCCGCACAGCAGATGGTACCGTAATGTTGGAGGCGTTTTTTACAATAACCTTTTTTCACATGGGAAATTGAGGTGTAGAGAAGTCTCCTTCTGATGCTTGAGAATGAATCAGTGGCGGAGAGAAAACGCACGGGTGCAGGAGTTCAAGCAACAGCACTTCCTTAAGTTTTAGAGGCTGAGCTCATCCTGCTGCCAGGTCCCTTGGAGAGCAGCAGGTTGTTTTCTGGATGTCCAGCTCCATGGAATGGATCTCACTGAAACAGTGATGTGAGTCTTCTGAGGTAGGATCCATGGAAAGAAAAGGTGTCACTCCACGCTGTTTTTGTTGCTCAGTGCTGGTGCTTTGGGCAGCTTTGCAGCCAGTCATGTAAGCGATAGTCTCCTAATGAGAAGTGAAGCACAAGGTCAGAAGGTCCTTGCGGAACCGCAGAGCATTCCCTTCACAAATACTTCCTTGGAGGAAGGAGGAATGTGAAAAGCGCAATATCAAAAGGATCAGAGGACTGGCCATCCAGAAAAGGCAGTGAGTTATTCATAGTAATAGCCAGAATTACTGGTGAGATGCCCAAATGCCAGATGTATACATTTTGGTATAAATCTTACCTCAGAAAATTCTGAATGAAAATACATTTGTAAATAGCAGCGCTTCCCAGTGGGCTCCCCATCTGAAGGCAAGGGACCTACCTCAGCCAGTGAGCAATTCCTCATGAATAGGAGCCAATGAAATTAGATCAAACTACAAGACAGTGACAATAACAGCTCTGATTTTTCAGAAGAGCTGAATGACTTCTATGCTATACTTTTAGCAAAGGCTGTCAATGGCACAAGAGGAGCTCTTTAATGCTGATCTCTTCTGAAAGCTTGGGCTTGACAGCAAGTGCTCTGGGATGTCTGACCCTCAGCTCTACTGAAACTTTAGCATTGGTTGTCCTAGACCTGAATAATGAACTTCACAGCAGGTCCTCTGACCTGAGCAGCCAACCCTATGTTGAGATGTCCCAGGATTTTCCAGTTAAGTGGTAGAACTGATGGGTGGCATCTAACCTAGATATATCATTGCCTTTTTGTTGTTGTTTTCTCCTATGCCTGTTCCTGAGGAGGACCAATGTAAGCTTGTAGTGACTCAAACAGGGCTTTCAGAAGTTTGGGATAAATGTCAAGTGTTGTGTTACTTTGGCCCCAGCATCTGGCAAGGAAAAGAAAATGGCCCCAAGGAGTGTTGGTTTTTTGGGCTTTCACTCCCGTCTTGTCTGTGCTGTGCCAGTGCTTCTTTGCCTGCCTGTGATCTCTATCTCATTATTTCACAGTATAAGCCATGCCTCCATCACCACATACCCCACTTCCTAGCAGTACCCATTGTGATTCATGGCATTCAGATGCTGGAGGGGTCTTTCCCAATCACCTGTTCAGGCATCGGGCATGCTTGTGCATCTGGCTTTGAGGACGGCTGTTGTCCAAGCTATGTGACTCTGGAACACTGTGCCTCCTCGTGTCTGTTTTGAATCATCTATGGAGGCAATGCCATCACTTTTAACTTGCTTTAGCTTAACGTGCAGCATCTGTTTTTATTTAGAGCTATTTTAGGATCTCATTTTCATTACCTTGGCTCATCCCCTTGTCTAACCGGGGTGAAGGATCAGCCTAGAGAGTGAATTCACCACCTGATGGCAAATGCTCTTTTTTTACGGTCTCATTCCTATGCAAGGGACATTTTTGGTACGAATCATTCATTACTGGTTGTCTGACAGCAGAGCAAGGGTGAGGAAAATGAAGCAGAGAGCTGTGTTCTGCCCTGCTCTGCCTCCTCCAGGCAGGACACGATGTCCGAGGGAGTGCCCTAGGAGCACCACATTTATTTTAATGGCATGGTTTGAGAAGTGAGATCTGAACCAGCAGTGAGAGCAGCAAAGGGAGGACATGCCACAGTTACAAAAATTACACTGAGATAAATCAATAGAGGGAGGAAGAGAGATGGCAAAGTCAGACGTTGTTCCTTTGCCCAAAAGAGAAGGAAACAATGCTTCCTTGGTCGTGGTTGTTTAACACGGACAGGGAGCAAAGACCAAGTCAAAGAGGAGCTGTCAGGAGCAGGTCACAGCCATCAGCATGGGCTGGTGGACCTGGATTCAGGCTGGGGACCTGGTTCAGACAACCACTGAGTGCCAGACATGTTCCTGCATGGCACTAATTAGCACCTTCTCCGACAGACTGAAAAAAAGTGTAAGGAGCAAACTGATTTGCAGCAGCAGCAGCAAGCAGCAGAATGCTGGGCTAATGATGTGAAGAAGTGCCAGTCCAATCCGATGAGGAGCTGCCTCCCAGAAGTGCTAGTTATGGGTTAGCTGGGTACTCTGTCTCTCACTAAAACCGAAAGTTCTCATTATGCTGGAAACCCTGTTTTCTGTCTACAAAATACTCAAATAAATGTAGAACCAGTTGCACCAAAAAAAGAGATGGATCCATAGCACCTCTTCCGAAGCTTCCTTTTCTAATCTTCAGCAACACGTATCTGCCCAGGAACCTTTAGTGTCTCTGTTATTCATATAAATGATTTACACTCTGAGTTCTGTATTTCACAGGGTTAATGCACAACACCACTCTGGCTACACGTACAAATTAGGAGTATAGAGCACTGCTGGGCTTTGTTCTGATAAACAATAGAAAAAGCTGTCTGCGTTCTCTGGCTAGCTGGCAAATGGCTTTCCTTGCTGTGTTTGAAATGTGCAGCTGAACTCAGGACTGGATTTAGTCGGTGTCTGCACAGTGCTTGGCTCTTCCCACGTGTGCTGTGGATGTCCTGAGCCAGAGATGAGCTAGGAAGGTTGTCAGTGGATACAAACACTGGCTCCCAAATTCCAGAGGTAAATGTTCTGACTGTGAGTCTAAATCAGCGGCCTCCAGACCAGGGGACAGGGCTCTGCTTTTCCTCAATCCGTCTCAGAAAGATGTATTCTTCTTTCTCTTTCACAGGAATACACCATTGATATCTTCTTTGCTCAGACATGGTACGACCGGCGTCTTCGTTTCAACAGCACCTTGAAGGCCCTCACACTGAACACTAACATGGTGAGCCGCATCTGGATCCCAGATACCTTTTTTAGGAACTCTAAGAGGGCTGATTCTCACTGGATAACCACCCCAAATCAGCTCCTCCGCATTTGGAATGATGGAAAAGTGCTCTACACACTCAGGTATGTGCAGAAGGTACTACAGCTGGCTGCTGAGGTGAGGAAGCAAGGAGGTGGTCAAGGCAGCATTTTCCAGCTGTTCTGGGATAGAGTAGTGGAGATGGTCCCCAGTGCCAATGTTCTAAGACTTGCAATATGGTTGCAGAATGGGCCTCCTCTTCCTAAGAAAAGAGCCCCCCCCAAAATGTTAAACTATTTTTCTGTATCGTACTGAGACAGAAGTCAGAAGTATAAATGGTTTCCAACATGAAAATTGTTTTAATTTTTGTGTTGGTCAGCCCAGTCATTTTGATTTGATAATAAACATCTGTGCTTTTCCCATAAATTCCCGCTCTCGGAAATGAATCTGAAAAGCTCACTAAACAAAAAGGCTTGTTGAATGTGAAAATTAGATGTTTTTCCTCACTTTGAAAATATCCAAACATATGCTTTGTTTTGCTGCTGTTTTGAAATGTTCCTGCAACCAGACTGATCTTCAACAAATTAGTGTCTCTCTTTTAAGGAAGCGAGAATCCCTCTGTCACATTATGGTGTTGAAATCAAACCACCTTCGCTAGCACAAAACATCAGCCTCGCTCTCTCTCCCTTTCTCTCTCAGGCTGACGATCGAGGCTGAATGTCTGCTCCAGCTGCAGAATTTCCCAATGGACACTCACTCCTGCCCTTTGGTTTTTTCTAGTTGTGAGTATCCATATTTTAAAAATAGTTTTAGAAGGCAAGCAGAGAAACTTCAGCACAGTAAAACTCTTTTTAAAGGAGATCCTCTTCCCTTTTATCTGCATTTTCATCTGATTTCTGTGTTCCTCTTCGAAGGCCATTACTGATCACTCCCTAGAGCATCCTCCCAGTCTTGGTCTAGAAGAGGTATTCAGATACAGATTCACAGCACCTCTGAGTTTCTTCTTTATCTGGGTGGATAGCTGGAGGTGTTCATTTCACTGACCTTGTCATTCTCACCTTCTAAACAACATATTCTGCACTGCAACTTCATTCTCTTCCTGCTCTCCAAGGGGACAGAGTAAGGGAGACTCCAGCTTTGAGTACTTTCAGTACCCATTGGTACAGAAACGCTGTATCTCCATTGATAATTTTGCCTTTTTTGCACTGAGAAATTCCTGTCCTCACGCATTGGTTGGAAATCTGATTTACTCATTGTAGTCCTCTTTTGGCATCTCCTGCTTCCCCTGCCACAGAGGAGATGCAACTCACATGGCTCTGAGTTGCTTCTGTAGGAAGCAACAAGCTGAGGAGATACCACTGCCTCATCTTTTGCCATCCCTCATTCTTTGCTAATTAACTGTACATGCTATGCATTCTTGATAATTAGAAACACACTTTGATTTAGCTGCCAAGCTTTGCTCCTTTCCTCCTCTGAGGAGCTTTCTTGTAGGTGTCAAGGTCTCTTCTTCACAGTAGGCTTGTTTCTTTGCCAAGAAAGCCAGAACCAGGAGAAGCCATGCTCCAGATCTCCTTCTCAATGGAAGACATAACCCTTCATCTCCATACATAGACCAGCTCCCAGGTTGAGAGGTACAGAGACCTAGAGCAGGAACATTTCTTCCACATTTCTTCCCACATTGGCAGCTCTGTATTTGTGGTGTACTGATATCTGGGAAGGAAGAGTAGCCACAAGGACTGGTGAAGGCTACATGCTGCCAAGGGATGCTGAAACCCTTAAAGACTTCATGCTGGGGGAGTCCTGCTACACCAACTCAAGTCTAATTCCCACCACTGCAGTCCTCAGGCTGCATTTCTAGCATTGCTCTTCCCTTCCCTACGACTGAAAGTGGTCAACAAAGGGAGATGCAGTCCCTGCAGCCACTGAATGCAGGAACGCCTAAGGTGATCTGATCAAGGGCATCAGAAATATCTACCTGAAAACTTCATGTTTACGGAGGATCTAGAATACGATGCAAGTACTTTTGTAAACCAAGGTGGTGTATGAGAGGGAGGCATGCCATGTACTCTCTTGCTGATGCCGTTCCCCTTTCCCCAGATGGCTACCCACGTGAGGAGATTGTCTATCGATGGAGACGCTATTCCATTGAGGTCTCCGACCAGCGCACCTGGAGGCTCTACCAATTTGACTTCACGGGGCTGAGGAACACCTCGGAAGTTCTCAGGACTGGAGCAGGTGAGGCAAAGGGAGACAGCCCACGGAATCACCAGCACGTCAGAGACCTTGTGAGATGCAGAGGCCACCAGACTACTCTGTGGGTGGAAGGGGAGGTCACAACAGTACAGTTAGAGGATCATTAAGAAAGGAAAGATGGACCTTTGCTAAAAGGAGCAGAAGTAATGAAGATGAAGGGTGCAGTGAAGTCAAAGCAGTGTAGGCCAGAGCACAGACACAGGAACACTTAGAGGTGACAGTGCTGATGTGAATGAAGCTATCCCTAGTCAAAGGGTTATGAGAAAGAAGTATGTGGATGCTATGTAAATTCCTGAGTGATTATAATCAGAACACAGAGAAATCAGAACTCAAAGATCTCAATTCTGGTCTTTCTTAATTCTTGGTCTTTCCTTCTGTAAAGTGGTGTGAGGCTGAACACCTGAACTATAATTTAAGAGCCAGAAGAAATGCTGCATGTATGAAGGATAAAGAAATGGAGGCCCTTCAGCTCCTCACATCCCTTTTTCTTTCCATAGACAACCAAGAAAAGCCTCTTCAGATTGCTGACTACACAGTCAAATGTATGTGGTTCTTATTTTTCAGTCCCCTGAAGCAGCAAGTTCGAGCTTCTCCCACCCTGGAGAGAGCTACTATTGCCAGTGCTGGCAGACAGCCCCTAACTTGGATAGAAAAGCAGCACAAACCACGATGAGGAGTGGTGCAGTAAAAGTGTCTTGAATGCACCAGTTTGCCATTTGTAATTCTCTTTCTTGGTAATTGCCTGCAGGCTCCCTCTTAACCCTAGAATTGTCAAGTTGCTTTCTTTCAGTCCTCACTATAAGCCTCTGAAAAAGAGGAAGAACTTCAGCTGTGAGTAGCAAAATGAACAATTAGGATGTCTACCACTATGTATCTTTTCCAGGGATAGAACCAGAATCTAAGAACTGATTGAAGGAACCTTCTTTGTGGCAGCTCAGGTAGTTAGTTGACAAGATAGGCCATGTAGCCTTGTTATAGCTAAAAAGCTTTCTATAGAAAAGAAACCATTGAAGCAATCAGCTGAAGATGAATACACTCCTGAAACTTTCCCCAACAGAGTGCTTTTCAGTGTGCATGGCAGCCAGCTGGCCAGTTAGGCAAAAACAAAATCAGCTCTTAAATTGGTCGTGAAGCCAGAAACAGCCACAGAGCCAGCCTGCCAATGAGGTAGCCACCGAGCCCACTAACTGCTAAAACAGCAAGCCAGCACAATGCCAGCCAGTCACAAAGTCTACCTCAACCAGGCACACTGCTATCTGTGAAGCTAGCAAGCTGAGCAGTCACAATGTCAGGCACAAGAACAGCCAGATGGGCACTTACAACAACCAGTAAACTGCAACAGAAACACTCCAAATTCTAAAACTTTCTGTACCTTGGTAAGCTACATGTTATGATTCCAGTGTCTCTTTCATTTCTTGTTTTCTAGGGGAGTACATGGTGATGACAGTTTCTTTTGACTTAAGTAGGCGGATGGGTTATTTTGCCATTCAGACCTACATTCCCTGCATCCTGACTGTTGTTCTCTCCTGGGTTTCCTTCTGGATCAAGAGGGACTCTACACCAGCCAGGACGTCTCTGGGTAAGAGAAGGACTGTTTCATGTATGTTGCTTGTTGACTACTGCTGCAACACTAGCAGACTGGAAGTGTTGGAGTATGAAAGCTCCTAAAGCATTCTGGCGTTATTCAGTTTAGTGAAGTCCATCCCCCTTTCTTTTTATAGCATTGTCCTTAAGCTCAGCTGAATTTCTATCTATCTGTGTTTGCCTAAACTACTGGACTTCTTTAAGATGGCAAAAGACTCATTTCTTGATCTAAGTTCTGATCGCAGTCTTCTTAAGCTGACAATGTGATATTCTTATGCTTGAAAAGGGAGAGGAAAGGGGTGTACTGTGGCACTGCAGCCCTGACTGAAGATCTCCAGCCACATGCCTCATCACTTCCTGGGGGCTCACTGCCAGTCACATGAAGGTTGTAGGGTAATAAGCAAAGTTGCTTGGCCATAGAAATAGAATCCCAAACTCCAGCAGGAGCTGTAAGCTCAGTAGGTACAGATTTTGTCAATTACACCATAGTGGGAGCTCAGAGAATGCCAACAGTTCTACCTGTTGTTCAGATCTGCTCCGCAATCTACAGTGGCTCTCTGAGGCAGGATAAAGCTCATGTTGATTGAATCCTGCTCTGATAGGAGCTAGAGAGAGCTTTACAAATCTTTAATGCATTTCAGCTGCATCTGTATTTTGCAGAAAGCTCAGCTTCCCAGTGCTGTCCCTCCACCCTGCCCATCTGACTTTCCCTGTTATTGAAGGTAGCATTCCCAGCCCTGCCTGCAGGCCTTTGCTGGGTGAGGAGAGATACGGGGCTGTCAGCATCAGCAGGGCTATTCAGAACCCATCCATTCTGAACATTCCTTCCCACCTCTCTATCAAAATCAATTTCTTTAGAGCCCTGGATAGGGTCAGGAGGAAAAGAAGGGTGTTCATTTCCAATGGAGGTACATCATAGTCCATGGCTGTGGAAGGAGTGAACAGCAAGAGGCAAAAGGACACCACTGTGGTGCGTGTGAGTGTCTCAAAAAATAGGGGCAGGCTCCCACAGGAGGCAGGCCTTTGCTGTAGGAAAGGATCTCGGCACATCAAGAGTAGTGCATTCTTCATATATATGATTCCCACTACATTTCAAGCCCATAGGCTTACATTAAAGTGATGTTAACTGGACCAGCTCCACTGGCATTTCAAATGTGTGGGAAGTTGCATTGCAGTTGCTAATGCAAATGCAGTGAGAAAATATGAAAACCTCATGCTATGCTCCCACCCCGAGCCAATGGGGGTGAGCACCTGTGACAGGTGGATTTAGATGAGTGCTGGAGAAAGAGGAGCAAGTGAAATTCCACAGCTTCCTCCACATCCTAAAATCAGTAGCTGAGAGCACAATACCAACTCTTGGAGCTGATCGTGTATTGGTTCCTAATGCCTGATCTCTGAAAACAGGTTTGTGAGCACTAATGCTACTTAGAAATCCATTCCAAGCCCCATTTGAGCCACAAGAGATTCATTACCATCTCCCATCCAGCTGATGAGCCATTGGGCCAATTTTATCCTGGGGACAAATACTCAAAGGGAGAACAATTCATCCACTGCCTGCCCAAAGACATCTGCCTAGCAGTTATTTCCTAGCATCCAAGACATTGAACTCTGCATGCAGCCTTAAACAGAGTTCAAGTTCCATGCTCCTTTACCAGTACATGTTTATAGCCTGTGCAATGTTCTGGTTTCAAACAGCTCTTTTTCCATGATGCGTTGTCAGAGGTTACTGCAGGACCAGAGTCTGGCTAAGCAGAGCAAAAAAGGGACCAGACGTCTAAAGGCATTTCTCTCCCACAGGAGAGGGAAAATTGAGGTGTTTGAGAACATGCTGAAGACAGAAGTGCTTTTCTTCGTTACCCAAACTAGCTTTTTTTTCTCTTAGGTATCACCACTGTGCTAACAATGACCACACTGAGTACCATCTCCCGCAAGCACCTTCCCCGTGTTTCCTACATCACAGCCATGGACCTCTTTGTGTCTGTGTGCTTCATCTTCGTCTTCGCAGCCCTCATGGAGTATGCTACACTCAACTACCTGGTGGGAAACAAGAAGCCACTGGAGCACAACAGCAGGAAAGCCAGACTGGTAAGTTGAAGCGACCAGCCAGCAGAGCTGCATACTGTTAGAACTCCAAGTCATTTAGGAATCTCTGTCCTAAGCCTGCACTGGAAACTGCTGAAGTTGTTCAGTGCCTGACATGTACTTTGTTCATAAGGTTTTCAAACCAATCTGTGTGCTGGGTCAGAGAACTTGAAATTCAGGCACAACCAGAAAAATCCCCCGAGACTCCCATAAAACAAGGAGGTCTCTGCTGGGGCCAGGAACCCTGTGCTCAATTGCTGGAGAGCTTGTCAGTATAGTTTACATGACTAAACGTAAATGTCCATTTCAAGATAGAGCAATCCACGCCCAGACTCTTCAGTCTTTACAGATTTAATCTTTAAGGATTACATAAGTATCTTAGGTCACAGAGATGCAGAGACTTACTGTCTTTTGTGGTCTGTCATCAGAAAATCTGCTGAGTGTGGAGACAGCGAACCCAGAGATGCCATAATCCTCTTGAGATCTGCCTAGGCTTAGTGCAGATACATCTGACACATCAGATGAAACAGGCCTCTGAGCTGACACCAACTGAAAACAAAAAGGCAGATCTCTACCTTCCCGCACTCCTTTCCCAGCAGAGGTGGAGAGAGCTCTTCCAGGAGGTTGGTGATATGCCTCCTCTACTGGGGCACGACGTTAAGAATTGCAAACAGCCTTGCCCCAGCTATCCTCCAGCAGATGACGGCAACTAGAAGATGTATCTGGACTGTGGCTCTGCCCTCAGAGACAGCAGAGCTCAGGGGAATGAGGGAAGGGGCTAGTACAGCTGGAAAGCAAACACCCTGCTTGCTGACTGTGGCAAAGTTGGGGAATCATAGCAAGTAGATTTTTGCTGCCTAAATCTGCACCCCAGGATGCCAGGGAGGAAACTCACAGTCATGCAGGTAACTGCCAAATCTTTGCAGTATGCCAATCAGATGCAGAGAAGGGAGATGAACAGTCATGTCCCTCCACTGAACTGTGCCTGTGTTATGAACTGACCAACTGATAGTTCGATAATTTTTGGTGAATAAAGCACGTTTTCTTGCATTTTCTTTTCCTTTAATCCCCTTACCCTTCCTCATTACAGCCACCTGCTGGCGCACAGGTGATGCCATCCTTTACTGCTATCAACATCAACATCAACAACATCATGCACTGGCCTCCAGAGATAGAGGAGGATGACGATGATGACCCTGGCTCTCCATGCCTGGAAGGAAAGGAATGTGAGAGGTTCTTCTGCTGCATTGAGGACTGTCAGACAGGGATGTGGCGGGAGGGCAGGGTCCGCATTCATATCTCCCGCCTGGACTCCTACTCCCGTGTCTTCTTCCCCACTGCCTTCCTGCTCTTCAATATCGTCTACTGGATTGCCTATCTCTATCTCTAGCCATTCTTCCTCAGCTGGAATGGACTGGAGGCCAAAAAGATGAACTCTTCAAGGAGCATAGAGAGAACAGTGTCTCTTCTGTTTAGTTGATTGTCGCTCTGAACATTTCAACCTTCTTCCAACTCTCTCATCTCTTCTAAGAAGAACCAGACAGCTTTTTTTCTTTTTTTTTTTTAACTTTTTTTTTTTTTTTAAACCTCCAAACCTATCTTTTTAGAGAACCTTCCCTTCCCCAAAACCCTTTCTCCAGTACCACCAGCATTTGGCTCCTTGTAAGATTGCCCCAAAATTCCTATTCCCATCTAAAACATTAGGGATTTTGTCAAGAACAAAAACCTTAATGCTTCATTTTTCCATGCATACTTACCCCAAAATTCCATGAGAAGTGATTGCAAATGGAGTATTCTGTGTAGTTACTACATCTGCAAAGAAAATAAAATGTACTTTACAACTTCTGTACCACCTACACCCAAATAGACTTTGTGGAGTGCTGAGGGCTTGGAGAGGTCACAAAGAAAGAATGGTGAAAGAAGGTGATAGTACAGGTTTCCCAAAGTAGCTGTATGTGATTGGAATGTTTTGAACCTGCCCAAAAACTGAGAGTGGCACAGACAAGGACGGAGTAGCCACAAGCCTCCACCAGCTCCTTGTAGCATATCTGTGGAGCATTCCTAATGCATCACTTCACTTGTTGTATCAAGTGGCATCGAAGGCACTCACCCAGGGAGGCATTTTTCTTTAGGTGGTGGTGAAAAGCGCCTCACAAGTTTTAGAAGGCCCATCTGCTTTACTGGAGCAGGCTTTTCAGTGCTTGTGTTGACACTCAATTTACGATCAATACTTTGAGCAGTAAACACAGCTTATATTGAGCATAGCCAAAACAGGTAGAAAAGTCCTTGTGCTGTGAAGACTAGAAGCAGTCCCATGAATCCATAGAGCAGTAGATGTCTTTGGCTTGTCTCGTGTGATCGGGGCCCTATTCTATCATACGTGGTAGCAGGGTAGTGCTCTCATTTACAAGGACTCTTGTTGAAACCATCAGATCTGTGCATGGTAGTTGATGCTAACTTAAAAATAAGTATTAGAGAAAGGAACACTGTCAGCTACAAGTGCTGCATTTGCTGGTAGTGGGAGAGCAAGTTCCTGCAGCTCAGATGTTTCCTTCCTTTTTTTTTTTTTTTTATTAAATATTTAAATTAAAAAACAGACTTTGTTCAAACTGAATGAATCCTTCCACTTGTCACCAATCTCTACTCCTTTTCTTCCCAAAATGAGAAAAGGTAGCAAGTGCTCCTTGGTAGCTCTCTTACAGATCAGACACAGAGATGGCTGCTTTGCAGGACCGTGGTCCACTACAGTGGGATTCTTCAACAAACCTAAAGAAAAGGACTAGAAAAATGCAAAATATAGTCTCAGCTGGAAAGAAACTGCATGATATAGAAAGGCAAGTTCAGGTCTAAGGTATAAATTCAGGTCTCCCCATTTATACCAGCTGCTGAGATGGACCACAGCATGACTGTGAAATGTAGTATGCCACTAATGTTTGCTTACTCTGTAAATTACAAACAGAACCAATCTTTTTAAGAACAGCGTGTATTAGACAAATTGCTACCTAAAAGGCTCATCATGAGAAAAAAAGCCGGCATGATTGCAGAGAAAAGTTAGGAATGGTTGGCTCTTCGGACAGCTAATGGGTAGGAGGTTTTATATATTCTTAGAGAGCAATTTGATCTGGTTTAAAGATGGATTTTGACACTGTTAAATCTGATCTGAATAATGAAGTGTCATGTTTAATTCATTCATAAATACAGCTTTACCTTGGTTCCAGAGAAACAGCTAGAGTGCCTAATTAAGTATACAATAGTACAACACTCAGCTAAGTATAACCTAATGGGGTCAGACCAGCATAGCTCTGGAAGGGGAAATTGTGCCTGTCTAACCTGTTACAGTTCTTTTAAAATACCAAGTAAGAGATAAAGGTTACCCAGAAGCATAATTTGCTTAGCTACTCTGACAGCTTCTGAAAGGAGGGAAAGAAATTATGGCGGGTGGTTCTAACTAAGGAAATTGATTTAGCAAAAGAATTATTAAGGAGGTTCTAATTAGAGGAAATTAACTGAGGAGAGGGGGAAAAAGAATTGTTAAGGAGGCTCTAATTAGAGGAAATTAATGTTTTAGAGAAAGACAAAGAGAGGGAGAAGTCTAAGAAAAGAATCAAAACAACTTCCAGACAAGGAGGGCTGCTGGGTGACAGTGCCAACTCCCAGCCAAGCAGGTTGATGTTCTGCTCCTGATAGCAAAGTACTATTAGACGTAGCAATACAAAAAGCTTCTATGACTCAACTCTACTCAGACAGGGAGCTGAATTAGATAGGGACCTGTGATCTCAACAGGAAAGAGCATCTTAGATTAAAATTGGCTCGTGTGACAGACTCTGAGTGAAGCATGTCTCCAGATGTCAGAAGATAGCTGCTAGTATGTGTGTGGAAGGGGACACCCTGGTGGCAAGCCAGGGCCCATGCCAAGTATGATCATTAACAAAATGGTAGCATAAAAGATAGGCAAGCAATGTAGGCTGTGGTGAACACAGGCAGCAATACCTGGAAGGGAAGCATCCAAGACTGCTGGACAAGAAAATTTATTATCCTTGCCCAAAAGAGCAAATATCTCAAAGTCATTGCAGCTTCAGAGCACTTGGGAGCCTTGATAGATGAAGATGGTCATCATGGACACCAGAGTAAAGGTTTCAGCCCTGAGAGCAGCAGCATATTGAAATTAGACCTCTAACAGAATAAGTAAGTCAGGAGAGAAGCACAGTGTACAAGTGAACTAAGAGGATGATAGGGACTTGGGCAAAGTAGACTTTAATGACTATAACATTTCACACCAAAAAAAGACAAAGCCAACACACACCTCAGTTATTTAACCAGTGATGGAGAATTTGATCGAGGAAAATAGCCCAGTGTGGGCTGGAGCACAAGGAAACTGATTACTTAGGCTGTGTAAGGAGGAGGGACGGGGCTTTTTGGCATAGGGAAATCTATGCCCATCACAAATAGCTCAATAAATCAAGACATGCACAAATTCAAGTATGTTTTTAAGTAAGCTTCGACAGTTTCTTAAAAAAGGAAAGCCAAGAAAAGACAGATATATATATATTTTTTAATTACTTTGCAAAGCTTCCATTTCCTAAAACCAGGTGCAGGGAATATGGAGCACAGAGACCTTCAGCAGCCTGAATTTGTGGCTGTATTTGAGCAGTCATGGGGAGCCAAGCCCCACTACTTCCTTCCCAAAACTGCTTCAACCATCCGCCTTTCTCTGCATTCTGTAGTTTCTGCCATCAAGCTGGAGTGCCTTTTTCATATTGCAGCATCTTTCAGCCTGGGACAGCTGTTGCCTTTTCACCAGTCTGACTAGCTCGCTCCAGGGTACACAGCCCAAGAACATCTGGCTAATGATGGGGACTGAAAATGATGATCTCAGCATTTATGTATGGTGGTTTTTGTTTAGAAGATGAAACAAGTCAGAAAAAAAAAAAAAAAGAAAAAAAAAAAGTTGATTTCTCATTTCTCTTTCTCCAATTCCTTTCTCTCCAAATTATAACAGATAAGGGACCATTTTTAGACTGTAAGCTCTTCAGGGCAGGGACTCTCTTATTGTGTATTTGTATGGAGCCTAGCACATTAGGGTTTGTCATTCATTGAGATTTTGGGATGCTACATATTATAGATAATAAACAACAGAATGGACTCTCTGTCTCCATTGGCACTGTCTACACCATTTAAGACATCCCATCTGGACTTTATGAACTTGCCAAGGGGACACCTATCAGTGCAGACACGTCCTCCCCGCAGCACGAAGGGAGGCTGAGGGAGGGACCCTGCCTCCAAGAGGACGCAGCCTACACGTGCCATTATATTATTCCCTCTCTTCCTTTAATTTTCTCTGGGGCCATGTTTTCCACCTTTCTTCCTGTCCCACACCAGTCCTGGGGTTTTCCCAATACATTAGTGTGCTTTTTTCCATCCCCAGGATGGTTTCTCCCACGCGCAGAGCAGGGCTGCGGCAGGGCCTCCCCATCGTCATGGAAACCATTAGGCCGCGGAGCTGCTGCCAGCACTCAAACTATAAAATCACTGTGCTTCTCATGCACTGTTTTATTCTTTTCTTTTTTCCTACCTTTCGATTGCTAACAGGAGGTGTTGTTATTTTTACTCAGGTTGTGGTGAGGGACTGTGATGCTTTCTGAGCAAGGCTGGGCAACCAGCACATCACGGGCTGCCCCAGCACCTGGGCCACAGGGCCCCGCGGTTCATGGCCCTTCTTGTGTGGGTTTCTTTCTCCTCTTCGTGCCAGACTCCTCATACAAAGGGAGGCTACTGATTAAATAAGACGTTCTCCTCTTTCTGTTGAAATGTGCCACGTCTCTGCCCAAGCCTAGAACAGCGCAGCAGGCAGGCACGTGGTCATTACTCGCCTCTGGGCTTAAGCACTGATCTAGAAGGAGGGGAGAAGCTCTCTGCAGGCTCAGTTCGCACCATCCTAGAAAGGGAAAATCTCTCTTCTCTCTCTCTAGCGCACATTATAGCCCTTCAAGATTTGACAGTTGCCAAAATGTTAAAAACATGAGATTGTGAATGAAGGGGGGAGAAAAAGCTATATTAAGTCGTTACTTTTTATATTGCTAGAATATATTCATGTCTTCCTCCTAATGCCTCAGATTTATGGGTTCTGGGAAGATAGAATTTAAGTAGAATGAGCATGGCCAAAATTTTTGCAAGCTCTGTGCTACAGCACAGGGAGTGTGACAGAAGCACTTCTGCTTCTGCCATCATGGCAGGGGCTTGGGGTGGGCGCTGCCATCCAGATGACTGCTGCCATACTCTAAACTTGTTGCCCCTGCTGCTCTCTGTCAACTGAGAGAGGCTGTGTGACCTCTTCTCTCCAGCAAGAGAAACTCCTTTTGGAGAAGGGGTGTCAGCTGACAGCATAGCACAACCTCCAACAGCCCATTAGCAGCAGGAGGTACCCCCTGAACTGGCAGTGGACATAACATGGTAGGTGCTTGGTGTTCCCATCAGACTAGGTGAGAAAACCAGGAAAAATGCCTTATTGCCTGCAGACCTCCAATGCAGAGGTATGTTTAGGAAAAAAAAAGTTTTTTGAAAGAGTTGTGGGGAAAGAAAATTGACTTCCCTTCCCTTCCCTTCCCTTCCCTTCCCTTCCCTTCCCTTCCCTTCCCTTCCCTTCCCTTCCCTTCCCTTCCCTTCCCTTCCCTTCCCTTCCCTTCCCTTCCCTTCCCTTCCCTTCCCTTCCCTTCCCTTCCCTTCCCTTCCCTTCCCTTCCCTTTTTCCTTTCCAGAAGAATCTCAGATTTGTGCAGCTAATTTTTTTTTTCCTGCTACTGTTGCAGATTCTTTATATTATTGCCTGACATGATAGTACCATTCTTACCATTTTTCCCCCTTTTCCCCATGTCTTCCAGAAAAGCAAATAATTGAGACCAGGCCCCAGCCATCTGAGACACAATTCTGGCACCATCTGAGCATATATGACAGTAACAGCACTGCAGGATGGGAGAGAGCAACTGAAACTTTAATAGCTGCTGTAAGCAGGTCGGCATAGCAACATCTCCAGAGAGGGCTCTCCATGGGGTCATTTCCATTCACTTTAAAGCCCACTTGGGCTGTTATAGAGTGGTATAAAATGGACTCAGAAAAGCTGTTAATTTGGATTAGCAGCTTTAGGAACATCAAACCACAGTGCTCCAAGCTGAGCCATTTATTTGAAAGAACTCAGGTCTCTTGACTGCCTTCTAAACCAAGACACAGGACAGCACATGTCAAGGCACACAACTTTGGTGTCAAATGACAGAACCACCTGGTTAACTGTGAGAGAATGCTCTTACCTTAGCCGATGAATAACACTGCAGCACCTCTCCGGCAACCAGATGACCCTTTGCTGGACTCATACGGTCAGCAGGTCTAAGAGGTACCACCAGCTGTGCAGGAGCAAGGGAAAAAAGCAATAATGTAAGTTGCACATGGTGTGAAATGCAGTGGGCAGAGGATGGGTGACCCTGGCTTAAGTTTCTGGCTGATAGGTTTGTCATAACAGGGCTGTAGGGCTCCAAAAGAAAGCAACTACAGTGAACAAGAGAGTACGCCTATGAGTTTCAGCATGCTCTTTCAAGCCCAGTCACAGACTCCAGAACAAAACAAAGCAGTTACTTGTGTTTCACAGCTGCTAGAAAAAGACTTCTATTCTGTTGCCATAAATTTTCTGCCCTTCAGCAGTCTGCAGCATTTCTGGTTTGTGTCTCTTATGTGTTGCTGACCCTGACCAAACTCCAAAGGCAATCTTCTCACACACTTCCTCTTTCACAAGATGAAACAGAGACATTCCCCTCACAGTATTCTACTTTTCTTGGTGTTTTCATTCCTTCCAGAGTAAATCACTATCTGACCAGAAACAAGTTGGAAGCAAAAATTCCCAGCAGACAGCATAGTACCATCTTCTTTGCATACATCACTCTTCCTGGAGAAACACATCAGGTCTGGTCAAAGAAATTCTTGTGACACCGTTTCAGGCATTCAGACTGTAACCTGTCTTTGCCATAATAGAGATCTATTCTTGCTCTGTGTAAATGTCCTTCACCAATAACTCTATCATAGCACTTCAGCCAGCCCTGAATAGCATCCAACAGGGATCAACATCTCAGGGAAGAAAGCCAAGAAAAGCGCAAGAACAAAAAGCTGCAGAATTTAGTGAGCTAGAACTGTCACACCTCAAAAAAGGAGCATGTGCAATGCCACCTGTCTACATTTGTGAGTAATCCCAAGTGCAGGTGATTTGGCCAAGCTGGTACTAAACTAAAAATCAAAACAAAGCACACAACTCTTGTGGAACCAACTCAAAGTGCCTGCATGCCCTCTTTGTTCATTGCAGTACATAAACCTAACAGCCCAATAGAGAAACATGCTGAGCTTATTCAGACATTTCTCAAACATTTCTCATGATTTCTCAATATTCTGTTTTCAAGTTATTCATCTGTCAGCAAATTAGGAAAGAGCATCTCTCCCTAAACCATCTAGAGAACACAAAGCAAAAAAGTAAAATAACAGACAGGGAAACTTCTAGAATCATCATCTTCTCTCCTTTCCCTTTCCCTTTCCAGCACTGCTGATAGCCCCAGCATCATTCCATGCAGCCTGGAACCAGACAGTACACATTCCTTCTGAAGGCATAAACCACTTTAGTCCAGAGGAGGAAAGAGGATTTTTAAAATATAGGTAGACAGTCTTTAATTTTATATAAATAACAAAAGAAAAAAGTGATCACATCTAATGTATCTCTCTACTTACCCACCTTGCATATGTTCTTCTGAGTTTGATTGGCCCACTTATGCCAAGTGCATGAAATGAAATAAAGATCCCTTTACCATAACACCTGCCATATTGCCCTGCAGACAAAGAAACAAACAAAAAATGCATAAGTGGATACAGCAAAGAGAACACAAGAGCCCTTGTGATCAATGCAAAATAAGCTAGAGTGACTACACATACATGAAATCAAATGAAAGAAAAATAGCCTGATGTCTACAGAACAGATCTTCAGATCCAACTGTGCAAACTGCACGGTGTTCTTTGTTTTCAGTATTTTTTGCTATGTTCTACCTCGTATTTCAAATTTTGGCTTGATCACCAACATTTACTGATCAAAAGAGAAGATAAAAACTTACTCTGGGCTGATATGTTTTAAAGAAACACATCTAATTCCTTTGGCCAAGTTTTCAGAACAAACACGTTCGTCCTTGAGATAAGTTTTATTTGATCTGTATTGATATTCATAAAGTAACCTCCATCTCCCTGGCTGAAGACACTGAAATGTTTGCCGCAGAGACTTCAGATAAGTCATTAATACATGTCACTGGTTTCAGGGGTTACAGAGTCACCATTCTATGTGGACTACACATAGCCAACGTTTGTACAGTACTTAGGACTTGAATTTAAATTCAGCATCAGTCCATATGTTTAAAATAGGAAAAAACTTGGCAGGCTGAAATACAGTTCATCATATTTCTAACATGGTTTCCTCACTGAACTTGTCATCTCCCAAGAAACTAAAGACTACTTTAAGGGCAGCACCAGCGTACCTCCTCTGAGGATGCTCTGATGCCATCACAAGACACAGGAGGTTGCTCTCCCTGATTGTTCCAGAAGTACCCCACAGCACAAACACACACTTTTTGTCACCAACTATCTCTTGCAGAAGTAGCTTTCACCTGCTGATTGTCTGGGCTCATCTCCAGGGAAGAGCTTGTCCTAGTGACTCTACAAAATGCCAAGCATTTAGATCACCGGAGAGACCTGTGGTGTACATGATGATTGCACTGGACTGTATAGAGCATGCTGGGTTTCACTACTGCAGGCCAGCCACTGTGCCAGGCACTCCAGGAGCCTTACAGTGAGGGAAAGAAGAGTGGCTCAGCAAGGGTTTCAAGGGAACAGAGATGCATATGGCTGACACCTGAATTTACAGGAAAAGCAAAGTATGTGTTTAGCAGTTGGAATTTAGCAGGAATGCCCAGGAAGGCATCTGGTAGCAGCAGATAAAGTATTTGTTCATGTAGTTCATGACTTTGGGTCAAGCAAGCAGAGCAATAAAAACGAAAAATCCAAAAATAATGTAAACGTTCGGTCATCTAAAAACGTGTCAGAAGAGAGAGAGTTTCTTACCATGATCAGATTCCAGGGCAAAGCCAG